GCACTCGCAGCAGGACAGCAGTGTTTCTGGGCTATTATTTATTTATGCTTATAGAACTGGGGTAAAGGCCAGAGGTGTGGTGGGTGAGAGGATTCACCAGAGACAGAGTGGGGAGCAGAACAGGTGGATCCATAGAAAGACACTGCTAAGTGGAGCAGTGGGCGAGACAGGAGAGGTCTGCCGCACCATGTGGGTCAGCTCCCTGGCCAGGAATCGAACTTGTGTTGCAGTAGCTTCAGAGAGCTTCACAATGAGGTGCTTTAACCCATTGGGCGAGCCCAATCTCCCCCCGCCCACACACACACCTTTTTTTTTTTTTTTTAAGGATATCTCTATATAGACTGATACTTCTTTTACAACAGATTCCAATAAAGTTCCTGTGAGGTATTTTTATTGGCAAACTCAGTTACTCCTGTTCCAGAATTCATCTCCAATGAGTTTACTAGTTTGAAGGGGTTAGCTTATGACTTTTAGAAGTTCCCATTTATAGACTGAGGGCAAAACCTATCCATTTTGACATATGTATTCACCAAGGTAGGAGCTGTTCTGTGGGTTAGATATGGGTATAAAACTTGCCAGTTATAGAACCTAAGGTCAGTGAAGCTGTTTAGTTCTTTTAAGAAATGAAGTCTGCGTTTATTTGCCTCACCAGACTCTAAGATTATTTCGATCTATGTTGTTTACATGTATAGGTGAAAAGAAGAATTGGTCAAGTCACAGGTTAAGATGAATGCAGGAGTAATGTTTGGGGAGCATTCCCTGATTACAGAATCCCGTATTTCACTTCTCTTTAAGGTTCCTAAAATTGTGGGTAATAAGGTTTCCCCTCCAACTATAGGACACTTGTCCTTATTTTTCCTGAAAGAACAGCCAGAAATGTGCATTGAAATAGTGGATGGGTTTAGTTTAATATCTTTTAATCATACTCCTCTGGGATCTGACCCCATGGGTTCTTAAAAGGCTAAGCTGAGCTGCACACACATACACCCAAGGGGTAGAGCCCTCGTCCAGCTCTACCTGACTCAGCCTGGAACAGGTCCAGGTCTTTGGGAACATACAGGCTAAAAGGACTGGATGTGAACTTATTCCTTTTTTTTTTTTTTTTAAGTATTCTGGTTTTTTAAAAAATATTTATTTATTTATGCATATAGGAACTGGGATGAAGACCAGAGGTGCAGGGGTGAGAGAATTCACCAGAGACAGAGTGGGGAGCAGAACAGGCAGACATACTGAAACACACTGCTGAGGGGAGCAGTGGGTGAGATAGGAAAGGGGTCAGGGATCAAACTCAGGCTGCAGTGGCTGATGAAAGCTTGACAGCGCTGTGTCTTTAACCCCGTGGCAGCAGGGAGGCCCTGGGTGTGAGCTTCTCTGGAGAAATGGAGTGCAGGACAAGGGCCCTGTGGTTCTTAGTTAGTCTTTCCACTTTCCTGCATGCGTCATTTGTTGACACCTATCAATGTTTGCAAAAGCTAATCACTGAAAAAGTCACCTTGAAGACTGGTCAGTTTGCACAGGATGAAGATAGGCTTAATGCTTTCTTCTCTTTCTAACTTGTGTAAAAATGCATGTAGTGACTTTTGTCAAACCGTCTACAGTTTGAGTTTCCAACCACTAGGGGCTGACATAACTCTACTAAAACCAACTATTTTCTAACCCATTTCTTTTGCAAATTAGCAGATTCCAAGATGACTGAATCACACTGTTCATAAACTATAGTGTCTAGAATAATTTCTTCCCACACCAAAGGGCTTGATGTTAGATGTGAGGAAAATGTCAGGTTTGGGTTCAAATACCGGGGCAAGAGTGGAACAAGAAATAACAAATCAGAAAGAACATGAGAACCAGAGAATGTGAATAAGTCCTAACCTAGTGGCTCACCTCACTGATTCTGAATCACCTGAGGAGCTCACCTGCTTAGCCCCTCTGCTTCGCTAGTGATTCAAGTCCCTGGGGCTGGGAGCTGAGCAATGTGTATTCAAATAAATGCCCGGCTGCATCTCATGTGCAGTCAAGGTCTGGATAAGCCATGCAAACCTAACACTCACTTTAGAGAAGAGAAGCCCAGGGCTCAGGGAAGAGGTTGATCAGACCTGTTTACAAGTGATAATGGAGATAGGGGGTGGGGTTGGGGGGGGGCAGGCCTCCTGCCTCTCTGTCCAGTGCTCTCTGGGAGGGAAGGTCCCAGGCACCCTGTCTACTACAGCACTCACGCTTTGGTTTCTGGCACTCTTCTTGAATGATACGGTGGATCTTTCTGTGCAGTTCTTTGTCTTCTCTGGTTACCTAACAGGAATAGAAGTTTGGAGAGAAGTATTAAGTCACACAGAAGTTGTATCATCCAGCCCTGCTAATTATTATTTAGAACAGTTTCTAAAGATTTCATAACAATTATCATCCCTATACCAACAATGTGGTTTTCAATAGTTGGCCTATTGAATTACTTTGTCAGGAACAATTTTCTTTTTACAATATTCATTATATATTACAAGATTTTCTTATTTGTTGTTAGATTTGTAATAAAGGTGCAAATAATGCTTCTGAACCCTACCTCAGGTCCCCTTTTATTCTCGACCTGATTACCAATCTTGCGTCTGGTTCATTTTCTTCCTTCTCCCAATCACAACCAAAATTAAAATAAATTTAAAAATTTAAGGAAAAACTAGGAGAGTAAATCTAGCTGATCCATTGAAATACTTTCTGTATCAAAGGTGAACAATCATACCTAGTTCCTTTCTTAACCAGTTCAGGCAAATGGAGAGTAGAAACCAAGTGGGTTTTGCCTTTAATATCAATTTAATAATAAAAAAGAAAGAAAGGGAAAAAGATTAAGAAAGGAGGGAAAGAAGGAAGAAAGAGGGAAACATGAAGCTTGTAAACAAACTCATCTACCAGGAATGCCCGTCTGACTGGGCTGAAAGAATGGCCAAGATTCAAGAAAAGACACTGATAGTGCCTGCCTTCTCCCAACTCCTAGGGTTCCTACAGAGATGAAGGAGGTGGTGTGGGGGAGAGCTGCCCCAGGCTGGACAAACAGAGGCTATTTCCAAACTATGGTAACTATTTCCCTGAGGCAAGGCCCTCAGGAAAACAGAAACCCACAAGGCCAGGGAGGAGGCTGGAGGGGAAGTAGGAAAAGGGAGATGGCTCATCTGAGGAGAGAGGATTGTCACCACTGCTCCATTACCCCCATTCCAGCTCAGCATGACTCACGGGAGGAAGCAACCAACCACACCTCTCCCTGGGCTGCAGCCGTGTCCTGCTGCTCCTCAGGAACAGCGGCTTGGGGCTTGGTACGGACCCAGTGGCCTCCTGGAGGTGTGACCCAGGGAGAGGGTTAAAGTGCGCTGCTCACAAAGCCCTGGGCCCTGTCAGGCCTCCCCATGCTGGGAGGAGGGGTGCCCCACTTACCCCAGAGTGGAACACCCCTTTTGAAAGTTGTTCATAGAGTCTTTAAAAAGTATCCTAACTCTGAAGACTCTAAAATGTGAGCTCACTAGAGTAAATCAGCACCAAGAAAAGGTTCTATTGAGGAAAACTTCCCTTTAGGATCATGCCTGTACACAGTGAGGTTTCTGGGGTTCCTCAGTTCTGATCTGTTTCTAGGAGAATCTGGTCACTACCAATGCCAATGGCCAAGGCCCATTTTCAGCTTGGCGCCTCCAATACTAAAGGTAGACAGTGAGAGTCTAGGCAACAGGTGCTTGTTCTCCCACCCCACCAATCCACTGTGGAAGTGTCAACTGGTACAGCCTTTTGGATGGTCAATCAGACCAAAAACTTATATGTCTATGCCCTCTGCTCCAACAATTTCTCTTTTAACAGCCAATCTCATTGAAAAGTTTGCATAAGTTCACCAAGACTGTGCAAAAATAACAACAAGATCATGTCCATCAGAAAGAAGTAGTTAAAACATATGGCAAGTTCCTATCATATGGAATGCCATTCATATGTTAAAAAGAGCAAGGCAGATTTATAAGAAAATGGAGAAATGCCCGTGCCAGGCTATCCTGGCATCAAAGCCATGTTGCTGAGCATATTTAGAGCAGAGCAGTGGCACCCAACTGTCCTGTAAGACAGTTGCCAATACCCGCAGACATTTCTGGTTGTTACTAGTGGGAGGGCTGGGAATAAGATTTGGTGGGTAAAGGCCAGGGGTGCTGTGAAACATCCTGCAATGTATAGGTTAGCCCTCTACAGGTTCACCTGGCCGAAAAAGTGCTTAGGTTAAGAATTCTGAGTTAGAATATGCTCATGCTGTTCTGCAAACAAAAACCCCACAGCTGCACATCTAAGTGTGCATTTGTAAATGTCTACAATATGCTGTTACAGTGGTACTTGAGAAAAGATAGGGTTGACTTTTGCTCCAGAATCTATGTACCTCCTTAATGACTGACTTTTAAAAAACAGTAATTATCCTTAATACACACGCACACACACACACACACACACATATTTGTAATTAAAGCTACAGAGGAAACAAGTTGCAAGTCTCTTACATAGTATAGGTTTTCAAAACTACCATCTTTCTGGAAAACAAGTCCTTTTTCCTGCAGCAGCTTTATAGCGTTCTTAAATACACGATGAATGGCTTTTGACGTGGAATCTTTCTTAACATCCCCCTGCAGGAAGAGGAAAAAAGACACAAGCAAGTCTCATCTGAGAGCAACTCTCTAGACTAACTGGTTTATGAATTCACCCAACAGGCTTTTTATCTGCTGACTCAAAAAAAGTCAGGTATGCACTGGCCCAGCAGGATGGCATTTAAAGAACACTGGAAGTTTGCTCTGGCAGGACTGTGGTCACTGTTTTACACCTTCATTTTTGTGATTTTTTTAAAGTGCAAATCCAATGATATAAGATGGAACATCAAAATGGCAATCTTTGATTCTTTTTGGTATAACCAAAACAATGTATACATGTTAGCTCATTTTTTTTTTTTTTCATTTGAATGGTGACTATACATAATCTTTTCCTAAGGAAGTCAAAGAATTTTACACACATTGAAATATTTGGGGATTCCAGCAAGGAGAAATATTAAATAGACTCCTTATTTTAAATGGGGGACAACAGAGGTCAAGAGCTGTGCAGAGAACTGTCAAAGCCAAAGGGGGAAGGGGACCCCGAAAGGGAGCAAAGCCACCACCACGAAGCACCTCTGCCGCTCTCAGGGGTGGAGCACCTCAATTTCAATATTTGTTTTGTTTCCTAAGAGAAGGGTTTGCCTAGAGGGGTTCCAGGCATCCCAGCTCTTATTCTGAGAAGTCCAGTCTTCAGCTGCTCCGCCATGACCCTTGCACCATGTGTGCTGTTTGAGTGGCCCAGAGTGCGTAACCAACACAGTATTGTGTCGTGAATTACAGAGGCTGTATCCTTGTTACTTCATGTTAGTTCACTCTGAAAACAAGGAAAATGGTGAACCACCATTGTCCTTCTAGGTACAGATCTGTTTCTAATGTGAAAGAAATTCTGTTGAGCTATTAAAAAGATCAAACACCAAAGAAACATGGCAAAGCTTCCAAAAAAGTGTCTAAAGGCAAAGTCCTGCCTCTACCGAAAGGTACTATGAAGGCCATCTGGGCAAAGCCAAGGAGAAAGCAAGTGCTGGACACCTGCCAATGACATTTCCTCCTAGTGACCAGCAGAGGAAAGTACCCCCAAAATGGCCTCAAGGGTCGGCAGTGCCGTCCCTGAAGAAACCTCATTGTGGAAGAGGCCCCCGACAGGCCTTGCTTTAATCTAACAGAAGAGTGAGTTCTACAAACATTCTCTCTTGGATTGAAAAGCAAAGTCTGATGCCTTTAATTAACTGTCTAAATTTTCACACTTCACAGAACAAGCTGGAGAAGCTGGTCATCAGACTATGAGAGCCTGAAAGTGGATAAACTTCTTCAGATTATGACACCCTCTCTGAAGGGAGAAGGAGGCCAAGAAGTATGTAGTGGCTATGGGCAGAAAAGTGAGCTGAACGCGTGGCAATTACAAGCACACATCTTGCTGCTCTGGGATCTCAAGCTGTGCATCTGACTTCATCCGTGAGCGCTCTTTAGGGGGAGCACAATCAACCAAATACAGCAACCCCACAGAGCTGTCTAACTACTTAATCTCGAGAAGACTCACATTCTTTAGTCAATTTAACGTAAGACACCTAAGGCTCAAGGGTTATCCATCTTACCAACGTGGAATTAAACTAGAAACTAGCTGGAAATGATTGCCATACTACACCATTCACGTATACTCGGGGAAGTACAGCACAGCATGGTGATGACAGTTAACAGTACTAATTTGTACATTTTAAAGTGGTTAATATGGTGGATCTCAAAAGTTTTTATCACAAGGAAATTTTTTTGTAACTACATATGGTGATAGATGTTAACAAGACTAGGTGTGATCATTATTCAATGTTATACAAATATCAACTCATCATGTTATATACCTGAAGTTAATACATGTCAACTGCACATCAATTAAAAAGATGTGATCTTTGGTTACCCCCACAAGATCATGCAGATTTCAGTAAGATCAGTAAGTGAATGCAGAGACCTGCGAGATTAAAAGCACGGTTCTAGCTGTGACCAAGGACCCACCAGAAAAGATTCTCTGAAAACATAGACCATATGCAAATCTTCCTTTCCAAAACCACTGACCTCCACTGACCTGAGGACATATTTCCCCACTGGTTACAGAGACACAGTCTCAAGAGCAAAGCCTGCAATCTTCTCTTCTAACCAGTTTTTCCTGGACTGGGATTTCTGTCTTTTTTGTCTTTTTCTAAAGAGCAATGACAAACTCATCCAATTTAGGAAATTGAAACTGTTCAGAGACAAAAACAAGTGACTGGCTGAACAAGCTGGACCTGCGCAGACCTCTCTCATCCCAGGTCAGGAACTGGGTGGATCTCTGAAATATATATAGTCTTCACTCCCAAACAAATTCAACATTTATTCAGCTGTCAAAGAAACAATAGTTTTGCGAGGTCTGCTTATCGTGTTTCTGGATTTGCTAAGAAGGGCTACTACGGAAAAAAAAAAGGGGGGGGTGGACATTCAAACCCGCTCTCTCCCTGCCTTGAAACTAGAACACTATCACAATTAGTTTTCGTTAAGCTTTCATCTGTGTAACCACAGAGAGCGCCAGCGGGTCTAGGGTTTCACCATCATTGTGGGGCATCCTTAGTATCTCAGGGTTTTATTAAGCAGTATTCAGTTTAATATTGATGACTACCCCAACCAGAGCTAGGTGAGGGAATAATTCATATCTGATAGAAAATAATTTCTAAAGACAAAAAATATAAAGTGCTGTTTCATCTCTTTATACACATAAAGCACTGAGCTGACACAAATTCCTGCTCTAAGCATTTTCCAAAAGCTCTTGTGCCAGAAGATTCCCACAGATCATTCTGAGGCATCTTCAAAGAGTCCTCGGCTCTCACTACTTTATTGTAGCTATTGCAGAAGTGCTGGTTCACGGGAGGAATGTGGCTTTTGCTAAACTTTAAAGTTTCCTTCCAAACAGGCTGACAGGAAATCTTAGGAAGCCAAGTTGGCATTGAGCTGCCTCTAAATGATTAAATGGGAAGGTTAATCTTGCTGTCAGCAGACAGCTGGGAAACTGCGACTATTTAGGGGCGTCGGTGGCATGGAACAAAGCGGCCAGTCGTGACCCTCTCCACCTGGGTGTTCCTGCAACCTGACCCTCATCTCCGTCTATGAAATTGTGGGTCACTGGGCACAAAACCTGGTGCCAGGAAGAGATAATTAGGTTCACAAGTGAAACTGAGAAGCGGTGGTCATGATGGGGAGCTCAGGGTGGGGACCTGGCGTCCATTCCACCAGAATCATCAAGAACAGCATGTGACCTAATGAAGGCATTCCCAGCAGCCCTGGTGAAACATCGGAAGGCTCAGCAATGAGGAGAGTGGTTAAATAATGACATGTAACAAAAGATTACTGTAAACCTCCATGTGTGACTAGGGAAGGCTCTATAAGACACGTTGTTCAATATATAAGCTATGTAAGGGCTACGGATGGCCTCTGATAAACGCTTGTTCCACTTCAGATTTTTCAATTCTATGATGGTGCGAAAGTGACACAGGTTAAGTAGAAGCCAAAACTTGAATTCTGCTCTTTTCCTGGGCTGGTGACATGTGGTGTGACACGGCAAATAACCTTCCTACCCACGATTTTCAAGTCTCATCAGGAGAGAGAAACTGATGACTCGGCCGCTGTAACAGCCCATCTCCCAGCAATTATTTTTAGTTCCACGACTCACTCTTCACACCCAGGCTGTTCTCAACTGTGCGCACCAGTGGTGAGGACCTGGGAAGCCATTCTGGCTTCCCCTTTTGGGGCAATATTCAACAAAGTGCACGAGATGTTGCATACTTTATTACAAAGGGGCTTGTGTGCTAGAGGACTTTGCGCACTGAAGGCTACTGCAAAGTCTGAGCACATTTCAGGTAGGCGAGGCTAAGCCGTGGCATTTGTAGGCGAGGTGGATCACATGCATTTGCTATTTCTGACGTCGTCAGCTATGATGGGTTTATCATAAGTGGAGGAAGATCTATAGCATTTAGCAAGCTACCATGTGTGTAAAAAGTGAGGGATACAATTTCTATAGTTTCTATATGCACAGACTATCTCTGGAAGGATACTGATACCAGTAATGGTACTAACTTCTTGGGGAAAGAGATATGAGGGAAGATGGGAAGGAAACTTACCTTTAAATTAGAAACTACTGGAATTATTTCAATGTCTAAAAACCATTCATTCTACTACTGACAAATTATTATTGAGAACCTATATTATGACAGACCTGTCTTAAGCCCAGCCTCTAAAGAGCCAAGAATAAGACAGACAAGATGTCTGCTTTTATAGAAATGGAATTCTGGGAGAGTAATAAATAGGTAGGCAAAAAACAAATACCAATGTCATGAGATATGAAAATAGGGTGATAACACAGGGAGAAAGCAGGGGGCTTCAGGGTAAATGGCCCGGGTTGGGCAAGAAGGTGACATTTAAGCTGAGATCACTCCCTGGTGGAATAAGTGAAATAAATGTAAGTCATTTTACAACAAAAATCCTAAAAGGTGCAGTGAGAGGGAGAGTCTAAAACCAAAGTCTCAAACAATTAATTCCAAGCAAATAATAAACACCAAACAACATAAACTAACCTGTAACTCTAGGGGTGAAAAAAATGGGAACAGCTCTTTCCAGGAGGAATAAAGAATTATTTACAATTTCTACTTACAACCCAGACTGGATGCTACTTGGCCTTTATTTAAACTCCTAAAATACAACAGGTTAATGTTATTCTGAATATGAGACAAATCATTCAAGTCCTTGTTTGAAGTGCCAGAATCATCTTGCTAATCAATATAAAATGCCAGATGGATAATTAATCACCTTCTCTCCTCTACTTCCTTCACCTGGTTCTGCTGAGATTAAAGACAAACCATATCCACAGGTACTAAGACTACCATCATACAGACTGTCCTCTTTCTTTCTACCCAAAGATTAAGATTAATGAGCTTAAGTAAGGAGAGTCTGAAAAGGGAGGTCCAATCTCATTTCAAATTCTTAGTGGCCAGTGACCTTTCCAGAACAGAAACAACACGTGGCAGAATCAGAACCCCTATTCCTCGAGTCCTCCCTGCCAGTCTAACACCTGTCACATCCACCCACACCCCTCAGTGACAGATCTGGGGCTGCTGCACTTACTTGGTTGGAGCAGGCACTGTGAATCACAGGTTGATTGGCAAGGGAGAGCAGCGATTCCTGCATTTCCAACTCCTGCTGGTAAAAGGCGTGCACTCTCTTTTCCACAAGGAAGTCTTTGGCTTTTTCACTCAGCAAACTCGTGAGACTGTCAAGGTCCAGAGCACTTGGGTTGCTGTTAGAGGCAAGTTTTAAAGAACCTTCTGGAAACTATAACCTCTCTTTCTTTTAGGTGTGCATAAAAAAGAAAAACTTAGCTCGTCAGTGCAGTACTATACTGGCTGGCTTTTCACAAAGGGCAATTCACACAGTGAACACAGAGACAGACCTATGGGAACTAGCAGATATTTGTGATGGATCAAGGGGAAAAGCCAAGCTGGGGAAGGGTATGTAAGGTGTAGTCCCATTTTTGTAAAAAAGCTAATGACAACCCACAAAATAGGTGGGCAAATATTTACATGTGCATATGCATAGAAGATAAAAATCTACAGGGATCCACATCAGTTGAGGAACAGCAGTAACCTCTGCTGTGAAGCTGCAGTGGACAAGAACTTTCACTTGACTTCCTAAGAGTCTGCAGTTTGTTTTGTTAATATTACTTTTGGCATATATAATATACACAAATATTTAAAACCATTAAAATTGGAAAAGTCCCCTTTCTATTGGTTCTGTCTCCTAGAACTCTTGAAGCTTAAACTGCAAACACACATAGTTTTTCTCCTGTGCCTACCCATCAGTTGGGTTCCCACTGCCTGGCTTTCTGCCAGGGGTGCAGCTTCAGTGGTAAGGCATAACATACCTTAGTGCTGCCTCTTTCTCCAGGCCTGGGCTGCGGAAAGGCTGGTCATAGATTGTCCTGTAGAGCTTGGGCAGCTCCTGCATCCTTGCAATTTGAATGTCACACAATGGATCATCCACTTTATCTAACAAGCCACAGGGGGAAATAAGCCACAGAAATTACAGAGTCTGGCTCTACCCAAAGCCCAAAATGCTGCAGGATGATAGTAAAAGCAGACACTCAGAGAGTCTCTGTCCTCAAGGGCCCAGGGGGCAGTCATATGCACGAGGTGGTTCCCAGGCAGCCTGTGAGGGTGAACGCAATGCCAGGAGCAGACAGGGCCAGAGATCAGCACTGGGGACTCATCTGGCAGGGGTCGACCTTGAGATTTCCTGTTGAAAACCGGCTGGTGCAGTGCAAAGTGCATTGCTCAGCAGATGCAGGACGGTCATATTTCTGATAAGCTGTTTTCTTTCAAAGTTAATGGACTCCAAGGTGTTCAAGAAATCTCCATCACTTCGCAGAATATGAACAATGCTCCAGGGGTTTCACACTTTGAACCTCAAAGCGCTTTAGAAACTGTGCTGTCCAAATGAGTTTTCTATTCTATACAATAAATCACTTGTTTTCTTCCCCAACTTTTTATTAGTTACATTTCTTCAAAATAAAATTAAGAAATGCTGCTTTTTCTAACGCAATATAATCACCTCCATTCAATCCAGTTCAACCTTTTTATCTGAACTTTTTATTAGTTTGACTTTTAGCTAAGCAAGAGTTTACGGGACACATAACTAGACAACCAACCAACAGGCATATATATCTGGTACTCACAATAAATGGTGGCACGAATCTCTCGCTCTTCTCTGTATGTGCGGACATAGCCCCTGATACAGACAATGTCCCCAATTTCTATCTTCTTCCTCTGCTCAATGGTCTCTTGTAGCTTCTTGAGCTGTGAGGTTAAGCTCCGTTCTCTTGCACTTGGCACAGCTACAGTTGCTAGAGCCAGAAAGGAGAGAAAGGCATAATTCAAGTGTGATTGGAAGATAATTTTGGGGTAATACCAACACAAGATATTTATTTGATTGGTTGCTCTACTATAAAAAATCTGTACTGGCTTTCCCTGGTGCTGCAACGGGTTAAAGCACTGCATTATGAAGCTCTCCAAAACCACCACAGCACAAGTTCGATCCCTGGCCAGGGAGCTGACCCACATGGCACGGCAGACCTCTTCTGACCTATCC